ATTCTTATGTTGTGGTTATTCTGGTAGATTAATCGCAGCAACTGGACTTGCTTGAGTTCCTTGAAGACGTTCCACCTCTCATCCAAGAGGCTTCATCAGCTCTGACTGACTAGTTGGGAGTTCCACATACTGATATCCTGAAGGAGACATTAACACCTGAGTTTAGGTTTCAATTGGGGGTTTGTTGCTCCTCCTCCTCGTTTATGGGTCGTTAGTGCTCCTCCTGACACAAAGGGGAGCACTAATGACCCATAAACAGACTGTAAAATATTACCTAAATATTAAATTATTCAAAATTGTATCACCTTACAGTAATTACATAACTTCTGAGCACAACAGTGTATTTGCTCTAATGTAAAATTAAAAACTAATGGCTCAGATTTACTATATTTGAAATACAAGCCCCATAGAAGGAACTTATTTCAACAAAACACCCCTCTTTTCTTTTTTTCAGTCTTTTGTGTCCATCTTTATTTTTAATAATAATCCGTGTTATAAAAAAAATTGCATTTCTAGAGAGATGGTCCTGTCATGAGGCTGCAAGGTGGATCAGTGGTTAGCATCGTGGCCTCCCAGCTAGAAGGTCGCCAGTTCGCGTCCCGGTGAGGACACCCGGGATCTTCCTGCGTGGAGTCTCCATGTTCTCCCCGTGCAGCGTGGGTTCTCTCCGGGTTCTCCGGCTTCCTCCCACAGTCCAGAAACATGCTGAGGTTAATTGGTGATTGTAAATTGTCCGTAGGTGTGAATGTGAGTGTGCTTGGTTGTCTGTCTCTAAGTGTAGCCCTGTGATAGACTGGTTACCTGTCCAGGTGAACCTGCCTTCACCCTGAGTCAGCTGGGATAGACTCCAGCCCCCCACGACCCCAGTGAGGATTAAGTGGTGGATGCTCTTTCCTGGGGGGTGTTCTATCGGATTCAAGTCAGGCAACCTTCGTGTCGAGGTCGAAGTTTGGATTTTATTTTTCCTTCTTCAATTTTGGCAGTGTGGGCTGGAGTTTTATCGTGCAGGGATGCTCTTCTTCTGCCAAAGTTCTGCAGACTGAGAGTCTTTTTTTTATATCCATTAATGGTGCCGTCTAATAATGTCACCTGTCCGACACCTTCTGGCTTCATGCAGCCTCTTATCATCACACTGTCAGCTCTGTGCTCTACTGCCGGGGCTGTGCACTGTGGGAGCTCTGATCAGGTTCATGCTGAACCTCATGTGAGTCAAACAAATGTATTTAAAAACAACGAAGTTTGTTCTTATCTGACCAGAGAATGTGCTCCTGATATTCATTAAGCTTCTTCTCATGCATTTTGGCAAAGTTTAGTGTTGAAGTCGATTGCCAAAAAGAAAGACAGGACTTTTTCTTGGACGCTGTCTGGAGTTATGCAACGTCCTTCACACCGTCTGAGCTGTCACATAAACTCCTAATTTAGACTGGGAATCCCTGTGCCAAGTCTGAAGCACCTGCCGGCCTGTTTTTCAGAGCCGGACCGTCCTCGTGGTGGTGCGCTGTCCATGAGGTCATCTCAGGAGGATGGCCACTGCAGCGCTGATTAGTGGTACTGTGACTCCTTCGTTACCTCCTGATTACTGCTGCAAATGTGCTTTCATTGATTTTCAGGTGGGTCATTGATCCTCCTGTGTCCTTGTGACATCTCACAATCAGAATCAGAGCCATGATGCAGACATGCAGATAGAAACAACCTATAGGTCCAAAACTGAGAAGGTTCTGATGTTGACAGGTCATTAGAACAATGATCATGCAGTTATGCTAACTGCAAAAAATATGTGTATTCAATTTTGCTGGATTGAGTTTCTACTTTGGGGCCTGAATTTTCAATATAGTCCTCCTAGAGTATTTGTTTTTGATTATTATTAAGAGAAAATTTCTGCTTGTCATATTAGAAATAATGCAGTTATTGTAAGATTATACCATTTTGAATCATTTGACATTTCAGTGCATTTGATCTCATGTCTGATGTATACTGTTTGAGCAACGGTATGCTCTTACTTTGAAATAAAGACAGAATGGGAAGAAAGTAGAAAGCACAAACAGCTGTTTTATGACTCACTGATTGCTAATTATATGATGGCAGTAATGAGAAAGGTGTGTAGGAACCTTTTACTTGGACATAAATCAAACTCTAAGTACGTGTCCCAGCATTATTTCTACACTTTGATTTTAGATAGATGTATGATATGTTTTATATTTTAGATCCTTTAATTACCCCCCTTTTGCTTTGATAGCAGCTTTGCACACTCTTGGCGTTCTCTCAGTCAGCTTCATGAGCTCGTCTCCTGGATGGTTTTCCAACAGTCTTGCAGGACTTCCCAGAGGTCCTGAGCACTTGTTGGCTGCTTTTCCTTCACTCTGCGGTCCAACTCATCCCAAACCATCTCAGCTGGGTTCAGGTCGGCTGATTGTGGAGGCCAGGTCATCTGACGCAGCGCTCCATCACTTTCCTTCTCGGTCAGACAGCCCTTACATACCTGGAGGTGTGTTTGGGCTCATTGTCCTGTTCAAAACCAAATGGTGGTCCCAGTAGACCAGATGGGATGGCACGGCGCTGCAGCATGCTGTGGTAGCCATGCTGGTTATTTGGAATAAACCTCCAACAGTGTCACCAGCAGAGCCCCCCCACACCATCACAGCTCCTCCTCCAGGCTTCACTATGGCAACCACACATGCACAAACCATCGCTCACCTTCTCTGGTCTCACAAAGACACAACGGTTGGAACCAAAAACCTCAGATTTGGACTCATCAGATCACAGTACAGATTTCCACTGGTCTAATGTCCATTCCTTGTGTTTCTTGGCCCAAACAGTTCTCTCTTGTTCATCCTCAGTCGTGGCTTCTTTGCAGCAGTTCCACCATGAAGGTCTGATTCACACAGACTCCTCTGAACAGCTGATGTTGAGATTTATCTGCTACCTGAACTCTGTGAAGGACCTGTGTGGGCTCTAATCTGAGGTTCTGTTAATTGATGGTTTCTGAGGCCGGTGACTCTGATGAACTCATCCTCTGCAGCAGAGGAAACTCTTGGTCCTCCTCTATTGGGGCGGTCGAGAGTCTCATCGTAGCGTTTGATGGCTTTTGTGACTGCAGTTGAGGAGACATTCAAAGTTCTTGAAATCTTCTGGATTGACTGACCTCCATGTCTTAGTGATGGACTGTCGATTCTGTTTACTGACTGAGTGGTTCTGGCCGTACTGTGGACTACACCAGTAGTCAAACAGGGCTGTCCACTGGGGACTAACCCAACCTCTGCACAACACAACTGATGGTCTCATCAACATAAAGATGACAAGTAATTCCACACATTGAATAAAAACCACTGAATGAGAGGTTGAGTCCAAAGTTGTGATTGGTGCTGGACCTGCTCATACTAGAGTGACAGTTCCATAAACTGCATCTCTTTGCTTGTACACAAGAATTGGTATTTGTAATCGTGGGTGTAAAATGAATACACAACCCCAACAATTCAACACCAGGTAAATGTATGCCAGAAGCAGCCACTACTCAGCCCGCTCTAAGCATTCAGAGACTGACCCCTGTCGCCTTGCAGCCTTCAGGTGGACAGCTTAATGCGAATTCCCAAGTAAAATGTCATTTAGGGTGGCCTCCCAATCAATTCCCCCATAACACCTCCTTAATCACATAATCCAGGCTCTGATAAGTGCCGATTAGCAGTGAAATCTCCTCTAATGGGCCAGTCTGGATCCATACACCAGACAGACGTCTGCAGGAGTGTGCACTGCATGCAGACGCTCAGTAATGTGGACGACACACCTCGAGCGCTCGGTGAACCCGTCTCTGGTCAGGCAGCGACATCCTCAGAAAGCTCAGAAGTCGGGTAAAGCAGCAAGCGATCCATTCAACCAGCATCTCTGCCATTTTGCACAACCATCAGCAGATATGTTGTGATCTCTCCAGTCAGAGTGCTGCCACTCAACAGAACTGAGTGACTTCCATCTGGATGCTGAGCAGCAGCTTCATGAGCTGTGCATGTGAGGTTGGCCCTGCTCTACCATCCAGAGACTTCATGGGTGGCTAACAGTGGCTCAGGTGGCAGAGCGGGTCGGAAGGTCGGCGGTTCGATTCCGCCCTGTAACCTGTCATGGTCGTTGTGTCCTTGGGCAAGACACTTCACCACCTTGCCTGGTGTGAATACGTATGAATGGATTGTTGAGGTGGTGGTCGGAGGGCAGAATGGCAGCTCTGTCAGTCTGCCCCAGGGCAGCTGTGGCTACAACCGTAGCTACCACCACCGGGACCAATGTGTGTCAATGAATAACTGTCAGTGTGAAGCGTCTTTGAGTGCAGAGAAAAGCGCTGTAGAAATCTGATCAATTATTATTATTAATTATCTCACTGCTGCTATTACTTCAGCATAACATTTCTCTCGACTATCTCCGTCCTTTAAGGGGCAACATGATTGCTCACTGATGGTCACCAGTTTCTGTCTTACATGGACTCAGGTTTATACTAAAGTCCAGTATATTCTGACTCACCTGACTTTTTGGTGAATGTAATCATTTAAAAAGCAGCTGTTTTGTTATTATGCCGTGTCATATTCAGATTAGGAATCGCTCATAAAAAGGCGGTATAACAGGATGAAGGCTTAACCTACAGCTGCCTCACGTCTATCACAACTTTTTACTTGAGTCTGAAAGCCAGCGAGGCAGACGCAGTCACCGTCCGACCCACCGACAGACAATGTGTGTCAGATTTACGAGCAGACGAGCTTCTCCCCACATTCATTATTTAATAGAAAGGTTACAGTCGTAGCTTCAAAGATGCTGCGCATGAGCTGGAAGGATCGTGGGCGTCGCTTCAAAACTCCTGAGGATGTCATTTTAAAATCAGCACTTATCACTGGAGCAGCTGCTGGACAGGATGACTGAGATCTCTGCCAGGAAAGTATAACGAACATTAAAACCTCTGTGGTAGAGGAGGAGGAGGAGTTCAGCTGTGTGAAGGTGCATTAACGAAGGAAAACCAACGAGAAGTTTCTCCGAACACAAGTTTTAGTTCTGGTCAAAGGAAAATGCACAAAAGGAAAAATAAAAATCACAAATAAAAATGATTTTTTTGCCATTATGGTGAACTGTACAGTCTGAAACCAACAACCATCCGTGCCGAGCACATAACCTGCTCAGTGCATGAAGATAAAACGAGGATCAGCAGATCCATTCTGGCTGAAGTGAAGCCGGTGAGAACTAATGTTAAAAAAAAGTCTTAAAGATACAGCGCAGCCAGTAGCTGACAATGGCAAAGAAACAAGAGTTCATTTCAGGAAAGCAGCGCTTCCTTTTATCCGCCAAGTCTTTGAGAGAACCGAGCTCAGAACTCAGTCATCTTCTTGTGTGTGTCAGCCTTCCTGTGCTCTCTCTGGATGGACAGCTCCTGGGCTTTCTGCTGGGCCAGCAGCCGGCGGGCCGCTGACAGCTTCTCTTCCAGCTGCTTCACTCTGGATGAATCCCTTTGCACACACAAACAGCAAACAGATCAGGAGGTGGGAAGAGATGACGAGTGAAGCTGGTCTGAGCTGCATTTTCCAGAGTAAGCTGGAAACAAGCATCGAATCTTCGCACCTTATTTACATTTTCACACGACTCCCACAGTCCTTGTTTGTGAATTCTAATTAATTACCACCTCAGCTGACGGGAACATCACAGCAACTAGTGCTCACATTTCGCAGCGAGTTACAGTTGCATCGAGCCTGTGCACATATACGAGTTACACAACGGCTGCTAATGTGTCAGTACTCATGATGCCAGTGATAACAGCTGCTGAGGAACTATGGGGAGACAAGGAGCCATTCAATTGCAATTAACTTGTCATTAATGACATGTTTACTCATTCAGGATCATTTCCCAGTGCCCAGCCTCCTCACCAGTCACATCAGACATACAGACATGTGCAGTGAATGAAGAGCATGTTCTGATTTGAGCACTGACCTTCCTGCCTGCCTGCTGAGGGCCTCGTTCAGTTTCTGGATCTCCCTCTCAGTCTGGGAAACCCTCTCAGCAGCTTGGAACAGCTTCACATTCAGGCTCCTCTTGGTGCTCTGTCCTCCTCTGTAAGCCTCCACGCCGGTCGCTGCTGGCGGCGCAGCAGCACGCCCCTCGGCAGGATCAGAGCTCTGGCCTCCGAGCTTGTGGTTGAGAAAGTCAAAGACGCTCCGGCCTCCTCCGGCGGGAGCCCGGGGCTTCCTGCGCCGCTTTGGCCGGGCTGTTTGCGTGCCGTTCTTAGCGGCTTTGCTCCGGGTGTGTCTCTGGGTGAGCTCGGCACACTGGTCCAGAGACTTACCTTTGGGTAGGACGACCGCCATCACTGGCTCTACACGACCTTCCTGCAGCTTTCCAAGGCCTGAGGGGACAGAAGAGTGGAGAAGGGGAACATTGCATTGGATTTTGTAAGGGAGCAGCAGGGAAACCTTTTTATTTATTTATTCCAGAGTGTTGTTGTATGTAAATGAGTTTCCTTTTATAAATCAGCTTGACAGCCTCCCTGATAACCACCAGCACTGAGAATGCCTACTTATTACAGACATGTTAATCTAAACAGGTGTATTCTGATTGTGATCCAGAGTCTCATCCAGCCTCTGTCATGTCACATAAGTACGTGCAGTCTCTCTGCCTAATCAGGCAATCTCTTTATGTAGCAATTGGACTTATTTAGTTCCCTGTTTATAAAGCGTTTTGATGTGAATATACCACAAAACATGTTGACGTAATAGTGTTAGAGGGCTGAAGTATACACGGGTTTGTTCTGATCACATGGGTGTAGCAACATGGTGTTTTTCTAAAGAGACCCCTGGAAAACCATTTCAAGTGAGCCTTGCTGCCCCCTAGTGTCCCATTACTGCTATTGTTATATAACTAATATAACATCTGAGCAGGAGAATGCTGCAACTTCACACTGTGAATGTTATCAGTGTTGCACATTTGCTCTCACCTTTCCCGTACTCATAGCCCATTTTGAGCATGAGCTTGGATCCTATGCCTCTGGTATGTGCCTCCCAGCCTCCGAAAGTTGCAGCGTTTGACGTGACTGCAGATTCCTCGGTGGAGTCCATAACTGTTGAGCAACAAGTCAGTTATTCTGTCAAGCAGAAACAGCCACAAACAGACTAAAGCTGCACAACCTTTCGTCGGCAGGTAGAATTATGAAGCTATGTTTTGCTGCATGCTGTTGTGGTTTCCCACCTTTTGCGTAGCCCACAGCGTCTCCGTCCACGACGTCATCCAGGTCAGAGTCGGAGGAGAGCGGGTCGTCTTCTCTCAAAGGCGGGATAACGCAGTCGGCCTCGACCACCACGTCTTTCAGCAACAGTGAGTCAAATTTCACCGTGTAGAATCCACTGTCAATGTCTGCAGCGGGAAAAAAAACATCCCAGTGAACAAATCATAGACACTGGAAGCACTTCATCAGCTCTAGTAGCGGCTGCTTTGGTTATGTTGTGCAACAAACTTGCACATTTTTTATGACCGGTCACACAAAATATTTTACTGCAAAGTGTCAAAAACATCTGTGGGATACCTGTGATCCTGGCTGGGTACCAGATGCCATCCTCATGCCGCACCAAGCAGGACGAACCTTCCTCAAGATTACTGAGGTCACACTCCACGAAGTCTCTGAGCTCCGAGACAGACACCACCTCACCATGAGAAAACCTCGAATGACAAGAAAAGATTTGAGAAACTCTCCATGGATGATGCAGTAAACATGCAAGGATTAAAGCTCCTCCTAAAATCACATTCCCAATAATTTATTCTTCCTCTGGTAAAACCTCAGGAACACAATTTAAGTGATAACAAAACCCTCCACTGTCATGTAGGTTAGGAATTCTTTCAGGATTTGCATCAACAAACAAACAAAAGAAGCTTTCTATCTGCTGTTAATGCAAATAAACAGCAGATAGAAAGTTAAATAAATGTAATGACCTGCTCTAGATGTGGCTGTAAAACATATCTTACCTGCAGTTATCCGGAAAGCGACACTTGTCCTCCAGATAAAACGGACAGGGTTTCATGGACTTCTGGGTGGGGTAGATGTACAGCACTCTTACTTGTGCCTCTTCTCCGTCTGCTGGTTCTGCCCCCACCACCATGGCATTGTGGTACTCCAGCGTCCCCCATGTTGTCCTGTAGGGTGCTCGTACTTTGGTACCACTAAGCGCATCTTCTTCTTCTTCTTCTTCTTCGTTTTCCTCTTCGTCCTCTTCACCATACACAACCCCACCTTCCCCCTCCTCGTCCCTCTCTCTGGTGTCAGAAACACTACCTGTAGGTTCCTCAAGCTCAGAATAAAAAGCAGCAAACTCGGCGTCCAGACCACCGTTTGCACCGTTCGTATCAGCTGCTGCTGCCTCCGGTCCGTTACTGTCCTCAAGGCTGGCCAGCAGCCGACTCTTTTTGATGGACACCAGACTGGCCTCGGTGAGCTCTATCAGCTGGCCGAGGTCTTCCTTCAGTTTGAGCAGGTCTGACTGCTGGGTGGGGTCCTGGGCAGCCGACAGGGCCAGCTCCACCTGCTGCAGCTGGGCACCGTAGGCAGTGATGGCTGCCTCGAGGCTTTCTTCATCCATACTGAGGCAGGACAGGAAGGAACAGCATCAACTCACTGAAACACACAGAAAAAGACGATGGGTAGAAGGTGAAATCAAGTAAAGACATCGAATCAGGAGAAGGACTGTGAAAGCTGACTTTCTTCTTTCTCGTTGTACGAACAGACGTAGCTCATGTCAAATCAGTTTTATTTGCATCACACAGTTCATACATGAACTTAATGGAAAACACTTCACACTCACAAACTACCAACCAAAAGCCTGAGAGAAAAGAACCGTGTTCCATTTAATTCCAGGTACAGACACGTGATGATTTGATGGATCAGGCTGGGATGCAGCCAGTGAGCAGGTTGGAAATATATTTAGGAGCCATGTGATTTAGAGCAGCATCGTGTAGCAGCAGAAATACTCTGAAGACTACTTACATTGCTATTTGTACTGCTATTTTTGCACCACTGTACACATATATTTGTCTGCTAGATGTGTATATTCTTCTTATTATTACTTATTTATTTTAATCTTCTTCTTTCTATAGTTATTTTTACTTTATTATTCTTTTCCTTGCTCATTCTTAAGCCGACACCAACAGCCGGAACCAAATTCCTCGTATGTCGTGTACGTACTTGGCCATGAAAGCTGATTCTGGTTCTGACTAAACTGGGCCAGTGTGGTGCCAGAAACCTGCTGCTGTCTATGCTTCTTGTTAAAGCTGTGCAACTTATATTCATCTAAAACAGTCACCAGATGCAGGTAAACACAGCTGTACGTCTGCAGCGATGGCAAAGCTGTGAAACTTTAACATCTGCTGTCAGCAAATATTAGTGAGTTAAAAAAAAATATTTGCAATTTGTAGTGTATTCAATATGCAATAACTACAGGAAATACTACTGTACTGTTTCCAGTGTTTGGGTTGTATGTGTTTGGGATTTTGTTTACACCAAATATAAATATAAAATACAGAAACTATCAAGTCATTCTGATGTATTAACACCACTTCAGTCACAGTGTGGAGGCTGTGATCACAGATGGAAAACTGCATTATGGGTTAAATTTATCCTTTAAAGTTGGTTCAGCCTTTGGGCCCAAGTGGGACGTTATTAGTAGGACACAGAGCAGGTAAACCAGAGACGTGGGGATGGTTGATGGAGGAAGGAAAGTGTTTCCAATAAAGATCTGTTGTCCTGTCCTAGTCCTGATCAGAAGCCCTCTATTCATAGCAGGAACTGTAAATAGTCTGACATGTCCCTGACGGACAGTACAGAAGAGCAGCAGACTGAAGAAACCCCAGAGAGATGTTTTAGATCCAGCTCCGTGCTATGAGATGGAAAAAGTTATTGTGGAAGATTCATAAAGCTCCTGTAGGGTCATAAGGTGCCATCAGACATACAGATCATCACCCTGCTGCTGTTCATAACATTACTGGAGGCTGGTTTAGCTGCTGTTAGCCGTCTTGAAGCGACCCTTTAACGAATTATTACAACAACACTTGCATTACCTTCGTTCCTGGACTAGCTGTCGGATACGGCGGAGAAAGTGACAGCCATAAAAAAAAGAAAAGAAGCTATAATAATAATCAAAGTAAGTCAAATGGCTAAATCCAGGCAGTGGAGCAGCACTAGCACATTAGCTTGTCCAGCGTCAAGCTGGCGGAATTAAAAGAACACTTCCGGTGTGAGTTCTCTTCTTTCAAAGTAAAGGTTTCGTATTTGACATCAAACTACTGTCAAATTAAAAAAATAAAAATAAAAAAGCAACCTACTAGTCCTAAACTACACCCTGAAGTTATGCCGAAAGCGTTGTTTTACACGAGATTATTAAGGCTCATATCTTTATTTGACAAAGAAGGTCTGTTTTAAAGTGGTAAACAAGTTTAATTTTAAAAAAAAATCTATCAAAGTAAATATCAGTAACTAAAATATGACATGCATTTCGATAAGGCATTATATTCTGACAAAAATAATCATATTTCCAGTGAAATGGTTGTTTATTATACATTTTTATCGGTTTTCTTTTTCATCGTAAAACTTATTCTGAAGATAGCCGGAAGTCTTGTGATACGTCAAATATGCGCGTCGTTAACGCGGTTTAATGACGTCTCCGTTGGCCAGTAACTTCACCACTACTGGAGTATTTTATTTGTTATGTTGAGGTTGAAGCCCTCCAGCGGACGTACAGGTGGACGTACAGGTGGACGTACAGGTGGAGCAGTGGGTCTGCTGGAGCCGCCGATGTGAAGGTAAGCTGGGGCTTAAATGAACCGGATCTTCAGCAGTAAACTACACGGAGTAGCTGGATGTTGTCCTCTCACTGCTCACACATGGCTATGGGTGTGTTAACGTAAAGAAAAGTTGTCTCCTACTAGTAACGAATCGTTAGAACCTGCGTTTAGCTAAATTAGTACTGATTGATAAAGAAAACTAAATCCAGGGCAGTTTTAAGATGATATTGAACATCATCATGACCACTACCACCATCAATGATGACATCTATCCATCATCTATACACCTTAATCCTCACTAGGGTCATGGGGGGGGGGTGTGAAGGCAGGTTCACCTGGACAGGTAGCCAGTCTATCACAGTCTATCACCGATCCATCAGTGGTGACATGTACCTTGTAGTTCATTGAAGGTTTCTTCCTTCCTTCATCATCATCATCATCAGCATTTAGAGATGATGGCTTTCCTTTTCTTAAACCACTTTAATTTTGTATCTCATTCCCCTTACCTGTTTGTTATGGACGTAGTGTTTGTTATGAGCCTGTGAAGTGAAGCTAAAGTCGGAGTAACGTGGTCTCTCTGATGAGCTCCAACCAGGATACGAGCAGCAGCATGTTGGACCAGTTGGAGATGTGAGAGGGACGACTGGCTGACTCCAGAATAAAGAGAGATACAGTAATCCAGCCGAGGAGTTATAAATGCATCGATTACTCTCTTGAAATGTGGAGCTGTTAAAAAGGGTTTTGCTTAAATTTAAAAAGCTTGACTTTACCACTGAGCTTATGTGATGATCCACTTTAGAAACACTGTCCAAGGAGTCGGATCATGTTTGTCACTGGATCGGGCTTGTAGGTTTCCTAAAATGTCCAACAAGCCAAATTATAAAAACAACAACAAAAATGAAGACTTTCAAATGTCATTTCAAAAAAGTTAAGTTCACATGAATGTAACAGATTCAGTCACTGAGACAAAATGTAAAATGTGAATGATCTCTACCCACATTATGTTTAAAAGCTGTCTAACTCCACCATCCTGTTTCTCTCTCCCCTCAGCCTCAGGAACGATGCCGTCAGCCATGTCCCAGATTAGTGATCCAAAGATCGCCTTTGCTTACCTGCGCCCGGCCTGTGTCCTGCTCACCCGAGAGCCCACTGTGACCAACGTGAAGACCCTGGGCGATCAGCTGAAAGAAGTCAATGATGCAACGCTGCAGCAGCTCCAGGAGTACGTCCTTTTCCCTCTCCGCTTCGTCCTTAAAGTCCCCGGACCCAGGAAGGACGAGCTGGTGCAGGCTGTGGCCGAAGCCATGAGCCACGTGTTGGAGAACACTTGTGTCCAGAGCTGGGAGACCCTCCAGGGCCTCTTCTCAGAGCTCTGCCTCTGCCTCTGCTCTCCAACCGATCCTGGGAAAGCTGCAGATACGTCAGAGGAGCTGAAATCGGCCGTGCTGAGGTGCCTGGATGCCCTGATTCATGCTGCCTATGGTGATATAGTCTTCAAACTCTTTGAACCAGTTATGCTGCCTGGATTGGGCGCTGCTGTATCGCTGCTGCTGGCTTTAGGAGAGAAGGAACAATCTCGGGATATACAGGCGAAGGCCTTGAAGTGCCTCCAGGCTTTGACTCTGCAGTGTGACTGCACTCAGGAGCACGTCGTCCCGTCCTCAGAAGAGCGATGTTCTATGAGCAGCACCATGGCTTCATTCCTACCTGGGATCACCACAGCTTCAGCCAGGATCATCACAGGAGATCTGAGACAAGGCCATGCAGTCACTGTTAGGGCCATGAAGGTACCATGTCACTGTGTTTTTTACATTTCTGGGTGTAATGATGGAGCATCGCTGTATATTCTAACTAATATCTACCTTGTTAGTCACTGTATTGTCAGTGATCTCTTCCTGAATGTGTGTATTCTGACTAGATCTCACCCAAGTAGTAGAAGTATTGTTATATTCAGCTCAAGTTCAGTTTTATT